ATTGCCGAGATATGAGCAACACAAAGCTGCCAATATGAGAGATGTCGCATTTTTCAAAAGTTGGTCGAAATTTTAAAATGCTCGTTTCTCAGCAGCTCAGCAATATTTTTTCAAACGGAGAGCGCCATTTTACTCAGAAATGTCTATATTTTCTTTTATGACTGGTTCGAACGAGTTCTGTGCGATACGATTGAGCAGTGTTCTATGTAACGTAGTCGTCGCTTATGTGAAATACCCAGGTCGTCGATTCCGGCGTCAGGATCCTGACGGAACCTGCCGGATCCAACGGCGGAACATGCCGGAAGTTGTCGAAATTCGGTAAAATCCGCTAGCAACCATACCGGATTATGCCGGAAATCCGTTGCTCGGAATCCGTGCCGGAAGATGTCGGAAAAGATCCGACCGGATCCGACATATTCCGGCGTCTTCTGGCTGATGAATCGGATTTCGCTGCATTTGGCAAAATGTGACCAATTTTCAGGCTAAAAATAGTCTTAAATTTTGTCTTTCACTTTGTAGTGGTTCTTCTCTCTGTTCATTTGAGAGAGTGAGGGACCCACTAGCTAGGACGTGCACAACACGTTGAACAGTGTAAGCGATGGCTCATACTGTTAAGAATTTGAGAAGAACAACTTCTCATTTTTCATTTTCTGTAGTGTCGTATTTAAAGTACTCCTGTCGTGAAACAAAACGGTGAATATATCATGCGCACAGGAAAGAAAGAAAAAAAATAAAGTGCACATCACAGGATCCGTCAATTTCCGGTCAGCGGAAATTAACGGATCCGACTGGTTCCGGATATCGGATCCTATCTCCGGATCCTCTAGGAACTAAATATCGGAACGCGAAGGAATTGAGCAGATTCCGATCTCCGGATCCGATCGGGCGTCCGATCTCCGGAAATCACCGAAATTAAAAGGATCCGGCAGGATCTGATCGGATGAATTCGACCTGGGTAGCTCTTAGACCACATCGATCATTCCCTATGCAACATTTTATTGATGGGTCGCTGCTGTCTGCGCTGGTTTTAGCCAAATTCTTCATACACTAGCCCCACAGGATGACTCAGTGATTTGCAAATAGTTTGATACTTCTAGTGAACTTGGAACACTGCATCGAATTGTCCGAACAGCGTTTTTATTTTAAACTGAAATTTGGCCTAGGTTTCCTCTGCTATTCTTTTTCTCAGAACCTTCGCCTGTTGTCGTCCAAGGTCGTGATTGTTCAATTAATTCAAAGATACTGTCTCAAAACTATGAGACTGATTTAACAAAATTTTTTGTTGTTGAGCGCTTCGAGTTATATGGCCAGGAGATCTTGAAGCCTCGTGCTTCTGGAGTTACGCGGTGTTTTTTAGCTCAAAGCGGACTGATGTTTTGCAATTTTCGTAGTTAATGCAGGATTTTAGGTAAAACGAAAACGCTTATGCTCGAATTCCGAGCAGAGTGAAATATTTATTTTCAAAAACATTTTTGATGTTCAGATGAAAAATATAAGTATTGTGAAAACTTGTATGACAGCTTGGTAGAGATTCCGAATATAGAATTGATTTTCATTACTATGAAATAAAACAGAAATTCAGTAAACAGGTCGCAGTTTGAAAAACTTCTTTTTGACATAGAAAAATGAATCAGATTAGGAAGGTTGCAATCACAAGACATTGCAATCCACCGGTAGAAGAAAATGAGTAATTCGGCTTTTGCAGACTATCATAAGGAATCAATGTCTAATGTTTTCGGATTTTGTATAGTTTACCGAGTTATCAGCACACAGAAAAATCATTTTTGAATATTGTTCAAAAGCATTCATCTTTTCAGCTATATTCCAAATAACAGATGCTTATCAGACAATACAGTTGGATGGAATGATTAAAGCTTCTGGTCAACAAGTGAAGGGTGCAATTATTACAACAATTGGATTCGTTCTGATCTGTCTACCACTGGCAGTAGTACTTATTTATGTTGCCAAAATTGATATTTATGGTTATTGGATTGGTTTGTTCTGTGCTGAATGTTTTATAAATATCACTTTTTATTTTACTTCTACGTTTCGACTGGCAATCATATGCAACTCACATTGCTGCTGCTGTTCCATTAACTACATTGACATCCTACGGAACAAATAAGGGAGAAGAAATACCAGCAGAGAAATCTCTATTTCAACTTATTATATGGAAACTGATTTGTTTAAGCCTTTTAATTATATTATTCATTATTAGCATACTATTTTCAACATTCACTAGCATTTATTAATCAAAAATTAAAAACAATAATGTTGCTGAAATAACTGATCCATAGATACGACTTACTTCAAACAATCAATATTTAACAAAACCTACTTTTTATTATTCCTGATAAATGTTACACCTGTTACTGTATTATCGTTCTTACATTTTAATGTTGTTACGATACTGTTTGTGTATATCGAAGTGAAAGTGGTGCCATCAGAATGAATTTTGTGAATCTCCTCTGGCAGCAAACGTCTTTTCCCTAATGGATCATTTGGATCTGAACAATACAGAGTGCCCAAAAATTACGTTGACAAAATTAAAAACGAAAAGTTTGAGGGCGGTGGGAATACACTTAAAAAGTGTCAAGTCGATTTGTCTACAAAGATGTGGCAGCAGCATCTTTTTCATCGCTTTCATACTTTTCATACTTTTCATACTTTTGCTTGAAAAAGCTTATTAAGCGAATCACTCTCATCGCTCCCCCCACACACCTCGAAGATTCAATTACTCAGTGTACCACCTAAAAAATTAATTTCTATAGCAAAAAAGTGTACCACCTTACGTTTGTTTGAGGCATAGAGCCTCAAACGTCTCGCAGGATAGACGCCCCTGGTATCCTGATACCCAGTTATTGTGGATCATCAAAGAAAAACCAGATCTTAAGAAACCGTATCTTTACAGGGTGCCCAAAAAATACGTTGACAAAATTACAAACGAAAAGTTTTTATAAAAACCATTTTGCCAACTTTTGGCATTTGACATTTTTTGTGGCATTTTCTCTCCTCTTTCAGATGCACCTTAAATTTTTCCGTTAGCTCTATTCTACGTCATTTTATAGTTGAATTCAAACCGAGAAATTATTGTGCATTTTTTCCAAGGAAGAAGACAATCCAATATTGCCTGCTCGCTGAATTTGTCGAGGCAACTCGTATCCAAAGCCATCAAAGATTAACAGGAGACGTGGAGCAACAATGACGGGCCTCCTGCATTTTGCAGGACTTTTTTGGCTTGGCAAAAAAGTGGAACAGAAAAAGTCTGTTTCTGTTTTTTGGTCCGCCGTGCGTTTCTGACATTTTTTGTAGCATTTTTCCAGCTTGAATTCATCTATAAAACATTGAAGAATTCAAACTTTTATCCTTTTTTGTTGTGGAAACTTTTTCAAAGGGTTTTTTTCTGATTCGCTATCAAAAACTGAGTATGAGAGTGGTCTTTGATTGATTTTGAAGTTCAAGGTCTGTCCAGTACGGCTCTGACGAACGCCTCTGCAAGGGTATGCTGGTATGCAACTTTGCAAATCTATCGAGTTTTTTGAAACACGAGCTTAAAAAGCCTATACTTTTTTATCTTATCCGACTACCTTTGTTTTTTTCGAATTTTCACGTCGAAGAATTACCGAGATTTTCACCTTGCAGTATTTTATTTTACTGTAAAAAAACGACTGCATCCAGTAATTTCAAATTCCGACGAAAAAACAAATAATTAGGTAATATTTTGCAAGATAAATTTTACTTCTATATGTTATCCTTGAACCTTAGTAAAACTTTTTGGTATTGTAAGCATTGAAACATGGAGTTTTGTAAAGAACTACTCCACACCGTTCACACATAACACTGGTCTCCTTCCTTTGTCCATTCAGTTGAATGTTCAAGAATTACAAGAATCTGGTCAAATTATCAGTGCTAGAGGTTTTAATGATAAGATCCGAAATTAAAACAATTTGAAGATGTTATAATACAGATAGAATTGGTTCATCCCATAGCCGATGAAATCACACAAAAGTCACAAATTAAACGTTTACGGTCGTGAAGATATTAGTCATCAAGATGTCAGTGGAATAGACTGTGGTTGTCAGTGCAGTAATGGAAAATGCATCAAGCTATTCTTCAATAACAACAACAAGAGAACCAAACGCTAGGGGGGAAAAGCGGAGTGGACTGGAATAGACTATTCCAAACCATTTTTTCCATTCTCCATTCTTGACAGACTTATATACTATCCATTGTGTATCTTGAGAAACAATGTGTTTGTGCCAAGGGGGAAAAGCGCCTTTGGAATGGTCCATTCCAAAGCGCTTTTTCCTTCTTGATCAAACGACATTACTATTTCAACCAACGAAGAGGAAATGCATGATTCTGCACCTCCCAAAAACCAATATGAATCTTACATGTCAACTGACGGTGTAACGTGGCATCAACCATCTATTCAAAAATTAAGTCCATTGATCCGTCCATCGATAGATGATGATCTGTATGGATTGCTAGAGCATCCAGGAACGTATAAATTAGGAATTGGTTTTGTTCCCAAAAATAATGAAATTGTGCTGTTACAATCATGCATTCAACTGGTGTTTTGAATGTTCAATGATATGAATAACATTCTAAATCTATTTCTGTTTTTTGGTCCGCCATGCGTTTTTGACATTTTTGTAGCGTTTTTCCAGCTTGAATTGATCTATAAAATGATGTAGAATAGAGCTATGGAAAAAATTTGACTAAAAAAAAGAATGACTAAAAAATTACTATCCTTGTACAAGTCGCTCTCTGATATCAAACCGCCTGACTTAATCTGTCCTTCAATGTTGAGAGATATAAAATAGCCTTTGTTTCTGTAATGCTGGAGAGTAATAAATGGCTATGCCATTTATGCTAGGAAACAAGCCATTTATGATAGACAACCGCCTCGGATAGACAAATTATGAAAGAGAGAGAGAGCCGTTATGCTGGAGAGTAATAAATGGCTGTGCCATTTACGCTACAGGTTAATAAATGGCACAGTCATTTATGGTAGGAAAATCGCCGTTTATGCTGAAGGGTCTCTCCTAGAACACATCTTTTCTTTCCAGGATAGGGAGCCATTTATTCTAGAAACGGCGTGATTTATTTATCTAGTAATAAATTGTAACTGCTGGCAGGATACTGTTTGTTTAGTTGAGTTGAAGAATTTATTTACAGTGTCCTGTATCTCAGATATAACACAAATGACAGGTCCCTGAACATCTTTTTGTTCGTCTCTTGGCAATGAGACGATTTTCATAAAAGGCATTCTAAGTGCTATAAGATGACGTTCAAGATCATTCAAAACTGAGCAAACAGGATACTGTTTGTTCAGTTGAGTTGAAGAAAATTAAGAGACATTATTCTAAATCGAGTCTAGAACGGAATCCCGACTGTAACGGATTTTAGATTATCTTTCTCTCTTTTACCCTCTTAAAGTAAAAGTAAATCATCTGTAAGTCCAGGGCATATTAAAATAAAAGGTCTCCCGTGGTCAAAGAAACATATAAAATAATTAAGTTCTGCCGTAGAGTTCTCATATTCAGGCGTCCAATTCTTTAGGTGGCCACTCACAAGACAATGTTCTACTACAATTTTGAGAAGCGCCGACCGTAAAAAGCTTTTTTGTGCTCTACCTTGCGCTTATCAGGTTTGGTTTATAAAATATTATTGCTTCGACCATGCTATCATATCGCTATTATCATATCAGATAATAGCGATTCATGAATTTCTCATTCGATTTTGAAGAAAATCTTCTTAAGTGAAAGATTTCTCACTGTTCTCTCATATTTTTTTAATAGGTTTTCCAGAAATCCTTTCCGAAATATATCAGTGGTTTTGTAGCATATGAAATTAAGGAATGTTAATTGTTGAAACAAGTGATGAAAGCTGCTTGCGAGCCACAGAAATCATAATTGAGTCAGCTGAAGAACACTTAGAAAAGCTTATTTCTTCTTCTTCAAACAACATTAAAAGAATACACAAGTATGTCTTTACTAGGTTTTGATCCCAAAAATAATGAAATTGTGCTGTGCATTCAACTGGTGTTTTGAATGTTCAATGATATGAATAAAATTCTAAATCTGATCTGCGTACTTAAGAGATTTTAAACCGCAAATCGCGTTGTTATGTTTTCCTTCATATATTTCTAGTCACATTCAGATGTCTGGGATCGTTAGCTTGGATGATCCCCTTTTTTGCTCTTTTTCAGAAAATTATTACAATAAAGCTACAAACTAATTTAAAATTCTAAGTAGATAATGAAACGCGTTACGGTTTTTCTGGTTTTCCTTTAATTAATACGGATTAATTAGAATAGTTCCCTTCGGTACTGGTGAAGAAATAAACGCATTTCTCTGATGAAAGCAGGCAAAATATAAACAAACTACTCTCAATGGAGGGGAGACATCTTCGTGGTTGGTGGAGAAACGCTAGTTATCAGCGGCCAACATCCCTTGATTCTCAACTTCCAACATTCCATTTTTATACTCGTAACATAAAACCGTGATGATGGCAAAAGCTAATGAGCATGTATTCATTAGTACCATGCACCATCATCAAAATCAGTGGAAAATCGCGTATTTCTCAATTTTGATCATGACGTACACCCTTTGAAACCAATTTTGGCACAACCAGTGGCTAGAGCTTTAAATGTTACATTTGTGTTAAAAGTGTCAAGTGGCATGGACCTATCCTTGGATTACAGTAGCAAAAACATCTGGCAAAACTCAAAAGTTCTGTCCTTTTCGCTCGATATTTCGAATTTTTCGACGAGTTCGATTTAGTTCTAAAATTTGTGAGCACATATCCTGAAAGAACGTTCACTGTTACATATAGCTGATAATTTTGTAGAGTTTTGAAAACTGATTGTCGCTAGTAGATGATACATTTTACGAAAACGAGATGGTGAGACGCACATGCAGTAAAATCATGTTTCTTCACGAAAACTTAACTTGTTTTTGATTTTAAAGGCGATATTCGTGATCACCTTAAAATTCTGCATATAGTCCATGTATGTTTTACAAAGATGTGAGAAAAAAAATTTTCCTAAAATCCTTTAGGGAGCCAAAGGCGTCAAAACCTTCCAAAACAATTTCGAAAAACTAAGTCGTAAAAAATGTTCCAAACAACCCCCTGACATGTTTTTGATAGAAAAAATGCAATTCCATTGGATGTGGGAAACCTATAGTTACATTAAAGCGATGAACACTAATTTTTGATTCCAGTTGGGTCAGTACGATACCGCGAGTATGTTTTCTACTCAAAGAATAAAAACGCAGAATAAAAGTCTATTCTGTTTTGCATGGATGAACTATTCTTTTAAGCCTTACGATAGGTAAAAATCATGATATCTGTCGAGTATTTTGACAATTGTTCTGTGTGTGTGTGTGTTTGAGAAGCTTGTCAATAGCTCATTTAGAAGCAAAGAAAATGCTCTATCTTTCTATGTACGGACTTTGGTCAGAGCCTTTGAAATCATACGAAAAACATTTGAGAATCAGAGATGTTAAATTATCATTATACAGTAACTTATAAAATATGTTCAAAGATAATTTGACAACTTTTGACAATAGAAATAGATTTAAAATAAGAATATTTTAGATTACTTATTTGAATGAGTAAAAAGTCTTCACAGAAAGTCTAATCATCATATGTAATTTTACATACTGACCTTGAACAAATGTTTTCTCATAACCAAAGCAAAATACAGTATTGCTTTAGAAGATGAATAAAAATATTAATTTTATTTTTTAATGTAGAATATTAATGGCATTCGATTTAGAATTATGGTATCTAAGATCACTGAAATTTACTACTGCACTTAGGTATCTTGGACCAACATTGGTCATGATGAGAAATATGGTAAGATCGTTTAAATATGTTCTTCGATTCGACATGAAAGCATGCTTTTTTGAGATCATTTGAGAAATTATGTCATCGTAGATAAGGAAAAAAAACGTTTTCAGTAAGTATAACAAAAAATCATTATGAACATTATCCCAATTATCCCGCACTGTATGTTGGTGTCAAACGGTTTGTAGCTGTCGTATGACTGCGTATATTGTATAGACAGAACGCAAGAAAACAATGCCTATATGTAGCGACCTCATCAGGATGTGAATATGACTCATTCGACACAGTCTACATAAAATTCATACTGCGTTCGTTTGAATTCTATGGAAAGACTCTGAACTTTTGATACAATTCAAAGAGTAATTTAGAGTTTATATATTTACAATGATAATGGAGATCAGTCGGCTTCACGAGTAATGATTCAAAGTATGACACCTCCCCGTCTTCGGATCAGAAATACAGATTTTTCCATAAAAGGTCTATATTGAGCTAAGCACATGGTTGAAGGTCTCAAGGTGTCTACTTTTAGAATCCATACTATTTGTGCCAATATCAAAGCTTTCTGAAGGATTTTGAACAAATCTTCTAAACGCCCTGGAACCCTGATTTTTCTGAAATTCTGGTATTTAGATGAGTTATTGAAATCAAAAAGGATTTCAGTGAGTTCAATCCGTAGAATAGAAATTTGTGGTTAAAATGAGACGTCTCCCAGCACCGTGGGATGCTTTGATCAAAAGTTATGACAGTTTTATTAAGAGCCCTACAAGGTGTGTCATACACTAACGGGCATTGCAGAAAGAATGGCGTAGTGTTTATTTTCAGTTTTCCTCCTCTTTCTTTCAACTCACAGAGCTCATCTTATTACCAAACGATTCTCATTTCTGTACGAAATGGTGTATAGAAGATGATCCTAAGGCTTGAAACGCTGTCTTAATTGAACAAACATCGAAATGCCCAAAGAACTCAAAAATTTAACACAAAAACAATCTTGTCAGTATGGAATTGAATGTCTGCGTTATGTATAGAGCAAGTAGGCCAAAATGTAGCCCTTAAAATTCGTAATAAGATGAGCTCTGTGAATTAGAAGGCATAGGAGGAAAACTGAAAATAAAAACTACGCCATTCTTTCTGTAACGCCTGTTAGCATCACTATATCTCAAAAGCGACTCTTTCCTACATGATAAACACTGTCGAGAAGATTTCTCTTTCAAATTAAGTGCCAGAGAGCGGGTTGATTTTAAATCGAAGCTAAGACATATGGGAACAACGTAACAGATCCCTAGTGAGGGAAATTTGGAACTTGACCTGAAGGATAGTCAGGAAGTTTATACAACGTGTATAAAAACCAAACAATTCCTGAGTTTAATCATCTCTGTTGAGAGTCAAATCTTTCAGAAACTAAAAGTGATTCTTTTCTAGAAAAGAGGTCAATATAGTGTACAACTTGTGTACTTCAAAGTTGTATACAAAGTGAAAAAGAACCTTCTCTAATTAATATAATTATATTCTGTAAACAAAAAAATGTTCTAGATAAGTAGAATATACAGAAGAAAAATAAATCAGGACGAAAAGAAAACAAGATCAAATAGAAAATGGTCTCTTTCATGTTTATAGTTATTGCAGTGTGCATAACTATACAAAGAAATGCTATATAACAGAGGAAGAGCGGATTAGTGACCGACCGGAATATTTTGAAACACTCCCTTAGGGAAATTCAGACAGCAGA